CCCAACCTTACAAACACATGGCTGTAAACTCCTTAAATCTGATTTAAAACCTGTTACGAACATCTGCAGGATTAGTATGGGGTTCCACAAACCTCAACAAGTAATTTGTGACTTACACAAGACACGCAGGAGTGAAGTCAGTGCCATCAGTGTTATTGTAATATCAGCAGACTGTAAGGTCAGTCCTGTACACAGCAGGAGATTGGTATTTCTAACCCAGTGCTGAAATTCCACAGCCATCTATTTGCAGTGGCATTCTAGTGCTTGGATGGAATTGAGTTTATCAGTTCACTCTCCAAACACACCAATGAAACCACCAAGTGTTCCTCAGTGGAATGTTTGCATTCTAAAAGAACGCCTGAAATAGTTTGTGGCCACTTGAAAACAGCRTGTTTATTCAAAAAAAGAACCTCTCAAAGCAGAGCTAGACACTGAGATTCAAGATGTWGAGTCTTTAATAGCTCTGAGTGCTTTTTCAGGGTATCAACACAAATGGCTGTCAGAGAATAATCCAATTTCAGGCTCCTTCTCAAATCAAGAGCACTGGAGGTTGGTGTGTTTGGGTAGCAGTGAGGGGCTAAGGACACATCTTCAGCAGATCAGAGCTCTTCTGGCTGATATTAATGTGCAGCAATGTCCCTCACATGGCTCATCTCCAGCCTGAAAATGTGCAGCTCCACTGCTCTGGTGATAGAGATGAAACCAGAGGGGTAACAGAACCAGCCTGTGCCTCCAGTACTGCTCCAGAGGCAGCTGAAATGGGGAAAGAGGTGAAAGAAATMATGGAAAAATGGCTGTGGGACCCCTAAGACAGCTTCTGTCCACACAAGAGATTTTTTGGTATAACATGAAAAACCTACAGAACAAACACAAATGTTTACAATACACAACACAAATGGTTATTGCCGCTGTGCTACAAATAAAAAGGTGGAATAATAGGTTCCATCAGTTTATTTCAATATTAATTTTTGAAGTAATTCAGATCCTGGGCTCCGCTGCCTTTTTAAAAGTTCATATTTTAAATGCCATGCTCCTTTTCCCCTGAAAAAGCAGAAGCCAAGATAGACTATTTCTATTTGTGGAAGACAAGGCTTAGATGAGAATATTTATTTTCCTAATTTTGGCATTCACTTTATAGCGTGGCCCTTTTCTAGCAAACCCAAAGAAAGATGAGTTATTAATGAACTGCAGCAGCTGCAGCCTGGGAGTTACAATTTGCACATCCAGCTGCAAACAGACTCACTGCTTTCTACCTTATCTCACATGGCCTGATAGTGCAAATTTTCATTAATACTCGTTTAGAAATATTAAATTGCTTTGCCAAGATCAGACTACTTAGGGCCATATATCTAATTCCAGACTTTAAGCTATCCTTGTTGTGAGTTTAAACTGATAAACATCATAAAATTCACAAGAAGCAAGGTCAACTAGAAAGCTAACTGGTCAAGCAAACATTTTCTCACTTGAAAGATAAATTTACTTTCTTTTTTCGTTCCTGTTTTTTACCCACACCCCCAAGAGAACTCTCTTTCAGCCAGCCAATCAAAGTGGAAATGWACTTCAAACACACTCAGCCCAAGCAAGTTTTCACTGCTGTCCTTCTTGGTGGTCCGTCATATGGAATGGTTTTAATACTTGGAAGCAATACCTTAAGTGTCAGAAAACAAGAACATTTTATTTCTGGAAGAAAGCTTTCCAGTACTACTAGCATTTTGGAAAAGAAAAAAAATTCCTTGTRGTAGATTAAAAGGTGAAAAGCCAAAAGAAATCAGAAAGGAAAGTGGGAAACTATTCCTTATGGCAAGGTTCAACTGGTATCTCAGGGCTGGAGAAAGGGCTATTATTTATATATTTACTTATTTCATAAATTCATTTATTTACTTAATTATTTTCATGAATGGTAGGAAAGAGGCATTTTTTTTCCAATCTCAAATTTCTAACAGTAGTTGAAGTCTTTGGCTATGCATTAAAATCTATTTGGTACCAAGTTAAGATTTAAATTGCATTGACTCAGCAGAATTTCAGAAACTCAGGATTCAATACATGGATATATCACTTGGTGAACAATACAGGAACCTTTAGAAAATGTTCAATTTAAACATTTCTACATTTCTGTCCTTTGGGATCCCTCACAAGTATTTGCTTTGAAACACTGTTTTTCTTTTTTCCCTGAAGATAAAGCAATAAATGTGTCACCCCAGGGAATCAGGGTGGCACTATCTGATCAGGTTTTAAAAGGTATTTTCTTCTATAGCCACAGAAGCAGCAAAAARATATTCAGTGAATTTTGAAAATATCTAGCCAAAGAATTTCATCTGCATGTAATTCTTAAATACACACATAGCAACGAAATATGCAGAGGGGTTAGAGCAGCCCTGCACAGCAATGAGAGCACAGTCCTGCCAGATGAAAGCAGAACAAAATGTACTATCTGCATGCACATGGAGCCATCTGTAATTCTGCTGGGCTGGAGCAGAGTACAGTGTGTTCCTATTAATATTTACTCATCTTTCATTTCAAACTGTAAGCTTGTCATTTCAGATAGCAAATACTTTTGAATATTTAAGAAACAGCTAGTTCTATTTTACTGAGATTACTTACTAACAAAGGAATGAGTGATTCTGATTAAACTGGCTCCCTGCTTGAGAAATACCACACACAACAGCCAAAGAAAACCCCTTTGAAACATTCCTGTGTTTGGAGGATGTAGGGAAACTAATCCTGGATCACCACGATGATGATGCTGCTGTATAAAAATATGATCCATCTCTCCCTGGAAATGGTCCTGGCCTGGGTGAAAGGAGCAGTGAGAGGGGAAAGGGCACATTTGGGAAGGCAGGGACAGTCAGACTCCCTGCAAGTGCCTCCAAGATGGGCTGGCCAAACATTTACCATGGATCAAACCTATCCATCCCTGCTTATAAAAATTCAAGATATTATCCAATAAGGATTTTCAGCCTCTGATTTTAAGACTTCCATCCATTCATACAAGTGTACGTCAAAAGAAAGAGTTGAAGGAAACACAGAAAACAAACAAACAAAAAAATATTTAGTTTTCTGACCCAGTTTGACCACGATACAGTTGAGTTTTGTATTAACATTTCAGGAAAAGTGTAATAATAASTGTCTATTATTACAAATCTATGATTAAGTTCCTAGAAAATCAAGAAAAATCTTTCAATCCAGCAAATAAATCCTGATTTACTTGCAGGAAGGTAAAGCTAGAGATATAGATCAGTTCCCATCTGCATTCAATGTGTTTATAATTTTTAATATAGAATGCTCAGGGAATGATTTTTCTTTCAAAAGAAAGYACTGCTAATACAGTTGCTCTTATTTTCAACATTTTGATGTTTGAGCACCATTTTCAGTTCCAGGAATTCAAACTTAATTTCATACTGCTAAGTGCCTGGGAAGAGCAGGCTTCAAAACTAAATCACATTTACAAAAGAAYAGAAGCTGCCATATCCTAGATCCAAATTCAGATCTCAATGGAATTAATGGAAAACTTTCCATCAAATGKAATTCTTTCCATCAAATGGAATGGAGCTTGGAACTGGCTCCTGCACAGAGCTGTGCTGGTATTTGAGGGTTTTTTGAGGGGATTCATTTTGTTTGTTTTCTAATCAGCTGTATTATTCACGTAGTCCAAACAGTCTAGTCAAAGACTCAGACTAAGCCTCTGTTATATTTGATTTATCATCTTCTCTAAAATGTGCTCTATTAAATGGAAACTATTTTGATCAAAGTGTATAACCTTTATAGTGTTTTTCAACTACTGTCATTAAATGCAGCCTGGGTTGCAGCTGCATTTTACTGTCCTAAAAGTTATTGCTTTCCCAGGTGTTGGGTCCAAGGAATGTTTTATCCAAGTACCTTTTCTGTTGATAATCAAGGCCCTCTAGGGAAGGAAAGTATGAATTATTGTAAACATTTAAACAAACTTCAGATAGTTCACAGTGGCTCAGCATGCTTTCCATTGTATCTTTYCTGCTTCCTTTTGTCTGTCTAAAGAACTGTCAGTTTAAAGCTAAAATAAACYCACCTCAGCTCTCTTTAGACAGTGATGAGCAAAGTGTTTTCTTCAAGGAGCTCCTGCAAGGAGAGCACCTTTGAAAATAAAACTGCCCCTCGCTGCCAGACCCATACCCTGTGATGCGGGGAAAGTTTGGCTCTTGTCTCACTTCTGCAGGGAGTGTTTCCTACCAAAATCCCTCCTTTACATTAAGAAACACACTCTAAGTGTCTATGAATGTAATTCAGACAGTTTTGATGTGAAATTCGACTGACTCCTGGAACACATTGTGTTAGGAGTAAATTTCCACAGCACGCCACACATTTCCTAGGTTTACTTCAGATCTTTTGCCAAGATTAACAGCGTTTCTTTCATGTTGCTTTCTTTACATTTATATCTATATTCCATGTTTAACATAATGTTTCTAAGGGTCTGGAGAAAGCATTAAAGACTTTTAACTTAAAAAAATYAATTTKTTTYCTTCTWAACACYGCTMCATCCATTATTACACTTCCTATTTGYTTCTTTATGATTCACCCAACCTTCCCTCACAAAAATTTCATTAACTAATATAATGTGTTGACTTTTCACAAGCTGGAAAATGCAAGATCTGCCTAACACTGATTCTCCCATTAAATAAAACAAATTAGGTTAAATCAAACAAATCACAGAAAGGACAATCACCTCTAATTCTGCACATTTTGCAGATGTACTATAAATATATATTTACACACCACTAAAATATCACTGCTTTTGTCWCCATCTCATCTTATTAATATTTCCCAAGTGTGGTTTTACTTATTATTTATGCAACTAAGTGCCTTAATTTTCATTCTGTGCAGTGTGTTCTCATTCATCTTGCTATAAATTTGAGATGTCTTCAAAAGACAAAACACACTGTCCCTTAATCATTTTCTCAGGGATGTGTTTCTCAGAGTTACACGAATGTGACRAAATCCACGATTTTCACACACAGCACACTGACCTGGTCATCGTAGCGGTAGGTGAGGAACTGCTCCCCCGTGGTATCCTCAAGAAAACTCCCCTGTGGAGAAAGTGCAAACTCAGGCAAGAAGTATGCACCTTGGGATTGCTCTGCTCCTGTCTGCAAGAAATCCAGAAAGGTCACGTTACACCTACTGCAAACACAAGKAAATTCTTAAAAAAACTGCATATAAGTACAAAATCTAGACATGAACTTCTGGAGGAAGAAAATAAGTGTCGTGCTCCAGGCACAGCATTTCTGGGTGGATATTTTGCTGMGATGGAGATGTGCTAAATACCTACAGAGGTCCAAACCAAAATWAGATGCCTCAATAGCTGAATAATCTACTAAACCAAAGGAGATCATCTCTGATTTATCACCCAGCACAGCTCAAAGACATTCAAAAAGCAAATACACTTTCTTTTTCCTTATACACTCCACTAGAGAAGTGGYTGCTGCAGGTAACAGGCTTTTGGTTAAACACAGATTATTCATTTTCACAATGAAGAAACAAAGACTTCATCACAGACTAACTCAGCTTAGAAGGTATCGTGAGGGCTCAGCTATCCAAAGGGGTAACCTGTGAAGCCATGACAGTAGGAATCACCTTCCTAYCTTGCAGAAGGGTATTACTGCAAAGAACTAGGGAGGGGAGTGACTGGAATGAACACAGGCAGTGCCCTGTATCAGTTCACAGCTGGGGAAGAGCATTTGAGAACACGCTGAGAGACAAAAAACGTCTCGTTTCAAGCTAGAGAAGAGCTAATTCTGTCAGAAGCATAGCTGGTACCTCCAGCTGGGCTGTCTGACACCTGGGCCTGATGGAGAAACAGCTTTTTTGTTCAGAGAATCTGCAATCACAATACACCTGAAACGCGCTCAACTCACCAACACCAKCTCATGGCACTGTGGGTCTCAGGCAGCCCAATTTATGCAGCAAATCCTCTGCACAGATGCTCCTGCCCTTGTTACTCCTGCCTTTAACTGCCCTGAGAACTGTTTGTGCACTAGAGAAAATAAGCAACCAMCTTGTGAATGCAGAATATTGAGGACAGGACAAGGAGATGAACTTCACCTTCCAAAAGGTTGAAACCTTTCAGGGAAGGAAAAAAGGCCTGAAATGTATGTTACTCCTGGACATTTATCAATGAATAGAGTTAATAAATAGARGTGTAATTAAACTGTATCTTTTGACTTTTACACAGTAATTTTACACGAAACTTGGCAGTTGCCATTGCCCAGTTTCTAGACTCTTGGCTTGAACTGTACCCAATACAGGTGCCAGACAACTGGAGATTTCAAAAATAACCAATGTAATTTAACCAGTTTGTGGTGGAAAGGGGAGGTAGGACCTACTGCACTTTTACAGTAATTTCCCTTTCTGAAGCTCAGAGTTATCTCATAGAAAGCAGATGCCATGCTGCTCACAGGATGGTCTGGAGGAGCTTACAGGGCTTTTGCTCACTCTTGTGAGCTGTCAGCTTCTCAGACTGCAAACCCCATCAGCTATGACAGCATCAGATTAACATACTTGGTTTAAATCAAGCAGTCTTCATATAAACTAGAAATAGCTTGCAAAGGACATGTCTAGACTAGGGTAAAGGTCATATTTCAGCATGCAAGACTGAACAAGATTGYAAAGAGAATTTTTTCATCAGGCCTACTAAGAGCAATTCACATTCACACCACATGATGACATTTCTGTAAAGCTTATTGCTCTCCCTTTTAGGCTTTAGCCAACTGACTTTATTTATGCATAATTAATTAATAAAATATGGAGAACACATCTACATTTGATAACAATAGTTTCCCCAAAAGAGGTCCACAGTAAAGCTGCCACTGAAGCTGAGCTGGCTCAGCTGGGGGAGCACAACCCAGACATGGCCAGGCTGACATAATCTGGCATTGTTCCCCATGGTTTCAGTGGCTATCCATAGATCCTCTGTGAGGGAATATGGCAATGATGTAATCCCATGATTTCAGCACAGGACTCGTGCAGCAGAGATATGCATTCTAAATCTCCAGTGGCCTGGGTTAAAGCATTTATCACTTTAGGCTCGGTTTCACCAGGTGTAAAACAATTACAGCACCTACTGGCCTATAGTAATGGTGGATTGTTAAATTTAGTTTATATTTGTAAAACACTTTGGAAAAGAATACCATTAAGTGCTAGAGATTTATAGCATTGTTTTTGGAAGAGCTGCCTAATTTATGAGCAGAGGAGAATCAAAATTACCCCGCCATACTTCTTAGCTAATTGCATATATCACACTGTTGCCTAATTTCTCATGTCAATAGGATATGTAGCAATTTTTTTTTTAAAATCAGATCTTCAAATGTTTAAAGCACTCTTTTGTACGCACTCACCAAAGAAGCAGAATATCATTTATACCCTCTAGATGTAAGTACCTTGGTGGGAGCTGCATGTTCCCAATGCTCTCTCATTCACACATTGTACTGAACACAAAATATAATGCTTCCACTTAGGCCATTTTATTCCCCACTGAGGAATCTACCACTGCTCCTTATGAGGCTTTTATATTGCTATGGGCACTTTGGCTTAAATGTAATTCAAATTTCAACAGTCTGTGGGTTTATAGTGTATTTGGGATCATCTCTGGATGACTTAGCTAATCTGATATAAATTCATGTTTTAAAGTAAAGACTATAAGTGCAAGTTTCAGAAAACAATTACATTTCATGCTAGTGTTTTAGGTCTGTTTAATGGCCAGTTTAATCTCAATAGCTTTAAATTAAATGTGTCAAGTTACAAGTACATTTAAGATTTAGAACAGGCATTTCAAACCAGCTTTTATGATCTTAAGCATATGAAGACAGTAGAAGGTGATAATGTAGCCAAACCAGATATAATTTTAATCACTACATAAAATTCATTGGCATTAATATATCATGTAAGCAAGAAAGAATGTACTACCTACTGACAAAAAAGAAAATTTAAAAGTTGGAAACAGATCCATGTTTGAAAATCTTCCAGCTGATTATGGCACATAACTTACTAGTCAGAAACTGRAATAATAAGGTCTTCCATGTTACATTTTCTACCTCTGTGATCAAGGAGAGCTGTCCTGATCAGCAGACAATGAATGTAGCTCCTGGAAGTGTGAAGKCACTGGTTTATTCAAGCCTTGTGCTGAAGCACAGCTTTGATCTCAGGCTGTGATTGCATCCTCATTCCCCACTCCCCACCCGAGCGCTGAAAAACCAAATTACTCCTCCCCTTCCAACTGCAGAAGACACAAAGCCTCAGGTTTGAGATCTTCCACCAAAGCTACACCTTGYTTCTACTGCTGTGCAGACTCATTGCTCTGTGTAACACTGACCAAAGCATCTGCCCGAGTTGCTGCATTGGAGGATTTGATTTGATTTTTTTATTGAGAATAAGAAGAATGTGAGTGCTTCCCAGCCARTCCTGCCCTCAGCAAGCAGCATGGCTGAAAGGACAATGCCCACAGACAGCACATGGGAAGGAGCTCATTTTAAATCAGCTTTAGGTGATCCTAAACTGAGCCTCTCCCAGTGATGGGTGCAGGAGGTGCTGCTGGGGCACCTTCTGGTTCTGTCTGACACAAAAGGAATCCCACTGGCACCTTCTGAAACCACCACACACTGCAAAGGATGTTATAACTGCTCCTCTCCCCTTGATACCCAGGATTCAAATTTACTATTGCCATCCAATTCACTTACAGTTATCAAATCATGGCAATCACTCAACTGTAGAGTTTTCCTATTGCTAAMTATTAATCATTGGTCATTCCTTCAAAGTTAGAGATTAAAAATTTCATCCATGRATTTAAACTGTCATTGTAATTTTAGATAAATTTAAAAATACAGTTTATTCTGCAGTTCTTGGAGACAATTTGATAGTGAGGCCAAGGCAAAGCTCAACCTCATCTCAGAACAGAGTAGAATAGATTAGTAGAATCTAGTAGAATAGATTATTCTACTTAATCACAGCCACCAGGAGACTTGAAAGTAATCATTCCATATTTATATATATATACACACAGCAGCAGCTTTAGAAAGAGAGCTTTCCACTAAATCTGAGCTCCGAGGGGCAAGAAGATGAGTGAACAGAGATGTAATGTCTCAAAGAAATTACTACAACATAATTATAAAGAAAACATCCGTATTTTGGATACAGAGAAATTTTTAATTTTAGAGTTTCTTAGCACCAAGAACCACATTACAAGAAAAGTAAGAATTCTGCTGTTATATACACTTAACACATACAAACATCACCTATATTTGAATCAGTCATTCCCTAAGCCTGTGTCCTCACTAAAATTGGGGTTTAATGAGAGCAAACTGGAGTAATGCAGGTGAAAACTTCAAAATTATCTGTTTTAAATGCTGAAAATGACAAATACCGTGTTCTCCCTGAAACTGCATCAATATCTTGTTTTAGAAAGAGACACCAAGGAGAAAAGGCCCGAGCAACGAAAGCTTTACAGTTATGAACAACTGCACTATCCTGCCCAAAGTAAATGCTATAAAGAAAAGACAAATACAGTGAAGGCAGTTTGCTTTCCACAGTTTTGTGGTTCTTTTATTAGTTCTTGTTGGAAGTGGAAAATGGGCAGCGTTCATTTCCAAAATCATTGTTTCAGGGGGGAAAAAAAAAGATGGGAAAAGCAAAATGAGAAAAACTATCTGCATTCTTAATGACTTGTAAATACATGTTTGTCAGATTAATATGCACAGCAAGTCCAATCATATACCAAAATGTGTTTATTCCCATTTAATTCAAGTTAAATATCTGTCTCCTAAGCTGCTGCAGYGTTTGATTTACGCCCCAGGGAAGCAATATCCCAGCTAAGTAGCAGTTTARTTTAATGGATTTTCAAGGACTCCAATACAAAAATGTTAGAGCACAGCACTCCAGCTTCATCACAACATGAGAAAGTGTATGTGCAGATAAACAATGTCACATTAACAGTTCAGGACTTCAGATATCTCCAGAGCAAGCAATCCTGATGAACAAACATCCAGTAAGAATCTGATTAGCTTTTGTCATGGCCAAGATCTACAGCAACAGCTTCCTAATGCTMGACACTGAAACATTCAAAGACCCTGCAAGGGAACTGAGTTTCCACAGAAGC